CTTTCTTTCTTTCTTTCTTTCTTTCTTTCTTTCTTTCTTTCTTTCTTTCTTTCTTTCTTTCTTTCTTTCTTTCTTTCTGGGTGGGGGAGACAGAGCCTCACTTCCTCACTCTTGATAGAGTGCCATGGTGTCATAGCTCACAGCAACCTCAAACTCTCGGGTTTAAGCAATTCTCTTGTCTCAGCCTCCCAAGTAGCTGGAACTACAGGCACTTGCCACAATGCCTGGCTATTTTTAGAGATGAGGTTTTGCTCTGGCTAAGGCTGATTTCAAACCTGTGAGCTCAAGTAATCCACCTGCCTTAGCCTCCCAAATCCAGCCATACACTTTAAAGAAACACTGTCAAATTGGAGACACATGTGACAACAAACGAGGTCCTTAGTCCAACCATCTGAGGGGACCTTCATTGTTCGAACAACCATGTGAGTGAGCTTCAAAGTACATCCTTCTTTAGTGGAAACTTCTGGTAATGTCACAGCCCAAATGAATACCTTAATTATAAACTTAGATTGTCAAGCACAGAACCCATGAAAATTTGCAAAAATTCCTGTTGTATATCACCAAGTTTAGAGGCAATTTATTCCACAACAATAGATAACTCCTTCTGATGTTACTACTTGCAATAGAGATGTACAGTTACAAATAGCTTAAATACAGGAGTAGTTTTGGAATTTGTGGTGGTTGGAGGCTGGGAGGACTTTTGGTGACGGTGATAATGAGAGCCATACTGTCCTGAACAATGGTAGTAAAAATCTCAACCCTGAGCAGGCTGCTTTTGAGGACCAAATATGGAATCAGAAATGTGTAATGAAAACTGGAAAATAAAGAATCTTTGTTATGCAGTGGTAGAAATTTAGCAGTATTATATGCATTCATGTGGAAAATAGACATGATTATCTAGCTAAGCTGATTTCCAATCATGGTATTGACAATGCCTCCTGATTTCTTCTTGCTACTAATAAGAACAGCAAGAAGAAAAAGTTAATCAGAGGAAACTTTTAAAACAAAAAGTAACCAGGAATTCTTATCATCTCCAAATTGCAAATGACATTAACATTAAGAAATGGAATGGATTAACAAGCTGTGGTATGTGTATACCATGGAATATTATTCAGCCACTAAAAAATATGGAGACTATACACTTTTTGTATTAACTTGGATGGAGGTGGAACACATTCTTCTTGGTAAAGCATCACAAGAATGGAGAAGCAAGAATCCAATGTACTCAATTTTGATATGAAGACAACTGATGACCTAGTACATGGTGGAGGGTTGTGGGGGAATGGGGAGTGAAGAGAGGGAAGGACAGAGGGGGATGAGGGATCATGGTGTTTGGCATACCTCTTGGGAGAGGAAAACATTTTTATGAGGGACTTAGCTGGACAAATGCAATTAGCATAGCCTGGATCTTTGTCCCTTCAATAAATCCCCAACAATAAAAAAAGAGAGAGAGAAATGGCTTTGGAGGGAGGTCAGGAAACATGTTCTAGAGATGGATCTTAATCCAGAGATAAAGTCCAGCAGGTGGTTACGCAAAGCTTCTTAAGATCTCAGAAAGATCAAAGGGTCAGTGTATTTTTTTAAATGGGCCCTTACAGAGATTAAGGATGTGCCTCTGAATCAAACAAAAGAAACTCTCGGATACTTATGTACACTGTAGTATCAATCCAGCAGGAGGCAAAGATAGGGAAGAGCTAATAACAAAAAAGTTTCTTAGTGTGAATTGGGGATTTTGTCTAATAAAATAAGCCATAGTGACATTCACAGGGGTCTGTCATGTTTTAAAGAAATTTTTATCAGAAATCACTGTTGACTGTGACATAGAGAAATGAGAAAATCTGTGTAGTTCCCAAAATGCTGCTGGTGGAATTTGGCTGAGAATCCTATCCAGCTGCAAACATGCTCTATCTTTCAGGAAGGAAAGACAACTCAGAGGTTGGATCCAGAAGGCAGGAAGTTATAGCTGAGATTGAAATTGCTTTTCTTTCCCATTCATGCTTTTCTTTCCATTCATGTGGAAAATAGACATGAGAAGACCTACTCAAGGAACTTCTAACTCTTGCCTAATTGCTCTGAACTCCTCATGACTGACCTCTCCCCCTTTTAGAACCAGAATGTCTATATCAGTTATTTCACGTTTATATCCCCACTATATTTTGGATGTGTTGGGGACCCGTGTCTGGAGTCTTCAGTTTCACAGATCTATAAATAAGAATCTGTAAGAATCTAGATGTTGAGTGTATATTATTATTCCTTTTTTTCATTAAATGATAGCTATGTACATTAATGTAATCATGGGGTACAGTGTGGTTTTTTCAATTTGAAATATTTTCATCAAACTGGTTAACATAGCCTTCTATTATAATGAACTTTTCTGGGCATTGGGAACATGTCAATTCCTTCAGCAAGTCAGAGGGATGGAATTTCTGGGGCCAGGATGTAGAAGCTTTGTGTTTTCCTCTATTAAAATCTTTTTCTACAGGGCATTTGCTGTTTCTTAGGACTGATGTGGGCCATCTATCAGTTGTGTCTTACCTGGCAGCTTATGACATGACTGAAATGCCTTTCCTCTCCCTTTTACCAGACAACCCTTAATCCTTTTCTGGCTCATTAAAGCTATAGTGGATACTTCTCTGTGTTCTCTCAAAAGTACTCTGTGTATAACCTTGTCATACCCCAGAATCTGTATTATTACAATGGACATTTAATTTATAAATTCATTAGTAAAATGTACCTTTTTAAAGGGAAGAGTATCTGACTTATTCTCTTATAAAAATCTATCCCCCAGACTGGCACATGGTAGGTGTATAAGTATTTTGAAATGAAGGAGGGAGACAGTTTAAATGGACCATGTCAGTATCTGACTTCCAGTCTTATGGAAGGAAATTGCTATTGTCATCTTTCTTATTTCCCCTTGAAGTTCCCAGGGTTAGTGAAATAGTGATAAACGAATTGTATGTTGATTTCTTTCTTCTACATGTCTAGGAGAAGAGCATAGGAACCTAATAACCAAATTATTCTAACAATTATGTGTACTTTTTAAGTGTACATGTGCACTTCTGCACAGAAAGTATGTGAATTTCAATAATACCTTTGTCCAAATCCTTGCAAAAGACAAAAGGAATGATTTTTTTTTAATGTTCTGACACCCCCAGTGATGATTCACTAGGGAACTAGGACAGAGATGTAAGGCCCCACTCACAGAATTCTAATTCTGGAAATGCAGTCACCCTAGGAACCCAGACTAGTGTCATTGTAAGCTCATTTTTTCATTTCACACTCATGACTAGCCTCCCTTTCCTGATCACCTCAATGGTCAAGGTCTCTTCAGTATTCTTTTGTCCATTTATATGTGCAACTCTTCTAAGTTCCTTTAAGCCCTCATCTGGCTGATTGTTGATAATCAACCAGCGAGCAGACTCCACCGTACACCTGAGAAAAGAAGACAATGTAGGTACAGTAAATAATTGTTTGTTTGTCAAATAACCTTTTTTTGAGACAAAGTCTCACTTGGTTGCCCTAGGTAGAGTGCCATGGTATCTGCCTAGCTCAAAGCAAATGCAGACTCTTAGGTTAAAGCAATCCTCCTGCCTCAGCCTGTCAAGGAACTGGGAGGGAGGTGGATACATTGAAATCCTGTAATGCAGCTGTTCTCCTGTGACATCTCTTTTTCCTATGTATGTCACAGTCCAAGCCTGTGCTGGGGATATTTATTTATATTTGTGTTATTGTTTTCCCCAGGCTACTGTTGGAAATGCTTGACATGGATATGCAAATCCTTCACCATGGAGGTGGGTATGGCAACCTTGGAGAGCACCTGGAAATTTCACAGGACCCTGGCAGGCATTTGGATGCATCACTCAGCAGCAGCTGGTGATGAGGCAGATCACTGCACCTTGATCAGAGTCTGTGAATATTGCAGATACTTGGCCAGTGCCTGCTTGTCTTAGAACCTTGACAGGTGCTTGCATGAGTTATAGGACCAAGGCAGGTGCCTAGGCTGGATACAGGACTGTGTTGGTTGACCCAGTAGATTGGTGTGTTACAGGACTCCACTGGAGGTGGGGCATGTCATGGAACCTTGGAGGGTGCCTGCATGGTTTGCAAGGTCTTCGGAGGCACCCCTAAAGGTCCAGGAACCTTGGAAAGTGCTTATCCAAATTGGAGGAGCATGGCCAGTTGTGGGTTGGCTTCTTGGGCTGTAGTGGCTGGGTGAGGCCTGGGAGTTTTGCCGTGCCTTACAGGGGACTTGCAGTGGCTAGGACTCTCCTACCCTGGTGGGCCTGTGGCAGATGGTCTGGTGCTACTCAAGTTGTAACAGAAGCACTATGGATTTGGTATGATTGTAGCAGCAGATGCTGAGGTCCAGCTGATGCCTCTTTTGCCCAAATCCCTGAGAGGGGTCCAGTGGGGTGGTGGAGGGAGTGCATAGCACTTAGTCAGTGCATAGGAGAACATCTACCTTCCCCCTGCCCTGAAAGTGTCAATGAGGGCCAGCAGTGGAGCCCACCCCTCTGCAGAGTGTGCATTCTGGGCCTGAGAGCTCCTAATGGCATCCACTGTGATGACATGAGAAGCTGGCAGGACCCCACTGTGTCTGCTTTCTGGAGCAATGCTGCTTCACAGACTATAACCAGATTACTGATCAGGTCTGAAGCCTACTGTGGTGGAGGAGCCCCCTGAAAGCTTAGGTTACACTATCCTCTGGGGGACTGTGGGGCCCCAGATCTCTCTCCTACCCCTTCCCTCTCTGGGGATGCTTCCCCCAGGTACCTTTTCATATTACTGAGTTTACCGCCATGCCTCTCTCTCCCCTTCATTCAGTGTATTCAGTTGCTTCTCCAGTGATTCACAGTGTTAGCGCCTTTAAGTCTATCTTTGGGTGAGTTTCTGTCCACAACTTTGGATTTTCTCCTTGAAAGCAGCAAGTGCAGGCTGCTTTATCCTGTGATTCTGATGCGCTTTATGCCCTTTCCTTTTATCCAGTCTCACAATGACAAATATTCCCAAATCATCTCCATCATGTAATATGTGGTATTTCCAAAGTCAAATAAATAATATATTTGCTTCACAAATAAATGGGGTTATTTTAAAATATGAAAAATGATTTCTGGAGAAATTTGGCTGCTACACAACAATGACTGCAAAGTCCTAGCTGTTCAGAAGCTTTGTTATTCTAGTCTGTCCATGCGTTCTCACATGCCATAATGGCATCAAATAGGAACCATGGGTCAGGACCAGCCCAGGGAGTGAATAGATCTCAAGTGTCAGTATTCTCTTCTCTGTTCCCACCATAGCTTCCTTTTTAGGAAAAAAAAATGGAGATTGTCCTTACCTGGAGGACAAGGAGAAGACAAACATGGGTATAGACATGGTCAGTTGCAGTGTACGCCAGTCTCGAATGGCAAAGGCCAGTCCTCCCAGGAGCATCTGCCCAGCACTGCAGGCACAAGATAGCAGAATTACAGCCATAGATTGTGACTGGTGATTTGTCCACTCTATCGCTGGAAGAAAACATATATGGTAATAGTAATTTCAGACAAAGGGTAATTTTAAGGTCAATTCAAGTCTAATAAGAGACTCAAATTAGTGACTTACCCAAACTGAAGAGGTTTCCCAGAGTACTTATCATACAGAAACCAGACAAAAAGCGTAGTGAGCAGTAAATGAGAAAGGTGGGGGCAAAGGCTGCACAGGTGCCAGAGATGGCCAGCTGGAGGAGACCCCAGCTGCATATGATCTTTCTTCCAAACCTAAGAAAAATTGAATCAGATAAGATTATTTAGGAACAAAAATATGCGGAGAACTTGACATAGACAGCACATGTTGAAATTTAGGATTAATGTTTCATCTATGGACCATACCACTGGAGACCTGTTAAAATAATTTTATTAGTCAATGGTAGTAATTGTAGAGGTAATCCTTTCTATTTGTCAGTATGAGAGTGTGTTCAAAGCCCTCTCCCCAAACTACTGCCAGAAAGACTCTGATGCCATTTGAAAGTGTATTTAAAAATATGTAATATGGGAAGTTATTAAAAAATGCTTATTATACACAGTATGTAAAGTTTCCATCTTTCTTGATGGCTGAATAGTATTCCATGGTATTCATATACCACTGTTTATTTATTCCTTCATCAGTTGATGGGCACTTGGGTTGTTTCTACCTCTTTGTAATTGTCAATTAAACTGCTATAAACATTGAACTGCAAATGTCCTTATGGTAAAATGATTTTTTTTTCTTCTGGGTAGATACCTAGTAATGGGTTTGCAGGATCAAATGGAAGGTTTACTTTTAGCTCTTTGAGGATTCTCTATACTTCTTTCCAAAAAGGCTGTATTATTTCCAATCCCACCAACAGTGTATTAGTATTTCCTTCTCTCTGCACCCACGCCATGACATCCTCCTAAGTAAAGTATCACAAGAATGGGAAAGCAAGCACTGAATGTACTCAGTGTTAATATGAAACTAGTAGATGAACAACTACATACCCACATAAGAGAAAAACACATTTAAATCAAAAGGGGAAAGTACGGGGGGGGGGAGAGGGTTTGGTAAGCTCTCACCTGTCCAGTGTAATGTAGGGGTATATGGCACACTACCTGGGTGAAGGCCTCAACTGCAACTTGGACTTTGCCTAACAAATACGAACAATGTAAATTAATCATATGTATACTTATATTAATTGGAAATAAAAATAATTGTTTTAAAATAAATGTTTGTTATAAGATCATATGCATTTAGGATAGTGGATTTGTGTGTAATGTTTAGAGCACTGAGGTCTGAAATCAAGAAATCTGAACTTGGGACTCTGCACACTGAAGGTAAAGGCTAAACTTATTTGAAAGGGAGACAGGAAAAACAGTAAACAAAACTTGCAGATAGACCTCACCACAGCCATCTCAGCTGTGTCTTTATTTTAGTTCTTAGGAAATGAATTTCAGCTCAAATGGAATACAATTCAGCCACTGTTTTCCTCAGGGCAGGAAGTGATAAAAAGTTCACAGAGGAGATGGTGAGGGGATAAAAGCATAAGGAACAAAATGGAAAGTTAAACAAAAGGTAATTATTAATATATATGTCACAGTTGGCAAGATGGATACCAAGTCTGAAGTCAAGATTAAATTACCTGAGTTGATTCAGAAGTATTGGTAAATAAAAAAATACACATAATAAACTTTAGTTTTAGACACCAGTTCTGTGCCATTTATCACTTACTTTAGCAGTATATTTGAGTTACTATAATTCTTATTTGAATGTGTAATTTTCTGAGGGTACAACACATGATTTATTACTAATTTTTATCATATAATTTACAATACATTGTAAAATTGCTAAAGAAATTTTGTTTTTATTGTTGGGGATTCATCGAGGTTGCACAGAAGTAAAGCATCACAAGAATGGAGAAATAAGAGCTTAGTAAGAAAGAAATATTTCTTTAAAAATGAAATATTTTGAATGTTCTTCTGAGCAAAGTATCACAAGAATGGAGGAAAAAATATCCAATGTACACACCCCTATTATGAAACTAATTTAAACCTTTTTATATGAAAGCTATAACCAAATAGCCTAAGAATATGGGGAGGGGGGAGGGAGAAGGGAGCGGGTAATGGGTGGAGGGAGGGAGTTTGGAGGGATTACTTCTGAGGTTTACCTTATAGGGGTACAGGTGAATCTTTCTAAGAGTAGAATGTGAATGTTTTAAAGCAATAACTGAGAAAATGACATGAAGGCTGTGTTGACCAGTTGATGGAAGTATTTCAGATTGCATGTGAAAACCCCACACTGTACCCCAGAAGTGCATTAATGTACATAGTTACCGTTCAATAAAAAAAAGAAAAAAAAATGAAATATTTTTTAAAAAGATCTGTGATATGGCATATGATGAAGAGGCCATCATTAGAAATATGAGAAACGAAAACACATTAAGTAAGTAAAATGAAAATCCACATATCCTCAATAAATTTTCATGGTAGTGGTTGCCCTGTGTTCAGAGGAGGAGATAAATAGGTATTGCACAGGGCATTTTTAGGGAGATGGTCTAATGGTGGATACATGATATTCAGCTTTTACTAAAGCCCATAAAAATGTTTAAGAAAAACAGTGTGCCCCAGTGTAAACTATGGACTTTAGTCAGCAATGTGTCAATACTGGTCCATCAATTGTAACCAGTTTCCCACACTACTGGCAAGATATTAACAATATGGTAAGCATCATAAGAGGGAGTATAGAGGACTCCATTTTTTTCCATTCAATATCTGTAAATTTAAAATTGCTATGAAAATTAAAGCCTATTGGTAAAAAAAAAAAAATTCTCACAGTCCAGACACCTCAAGATATTAATATTAGAGACCAGTGAAGTGTTAGCAATGTTGTAGGAATCAGGTGATGAATCACTGGGAATGAGAACAAGAAAAAAGTGCTTGAGGCTTCCTCTGGGAAGCTGAAGTAAACTTAGGCAGCAGATTAGATCCACACACACAAAATCATAAACAGGTCTTCAAACATAGTCAATGACAAAAGATGAGGAAGAGATTAGATAAAAAAAAAAAAAACCATACCATTTGTGTAAATTAAAATACCTGCATAACAAAAGATATTAAATATTTTGCAACATGTATGAAGAAAGAGAGTAATAGTAAACATATGATAAAGATCTCTATGATAATGAATGAGAACGGAGACAAATTACCAGGTACAAGAAAGAGGCCTTGCCCAAACCAATGGACTATGAGAACACTGCATCACAAGTTATGAGAATGAATGCCATATCTTTTCGGTTTGTTAAACATACAGTTGGTGCAGAGTCTGGATAACTGCTGACCATCCCTTTACTGAATATAAGGCATATTGGAAGACATAATTTCTCATGAATTTTTGTTGGTTACCATGGGGATTTATAAGTGGGTTAATTGTGTGTGGCCAATGATAACATGCCAATTCCAGTTCTTACCATAAAAGGTCCACTGTGTTTTTCCCCTTTCTGTCTCATATGTGAGAGTACTACAGTGATAGCCCTGGTTCCCTTAGACATAACCTGAAAGATGGGTGCCCAGAAGTGTCACCCCACCATATCTGCCTGAACTACCCCTGAGGATTATCCTTTCACTATAGTAAGTGATAGAAATTCGGGGTAACTAATAATTATGACTAAAATGGTAGGGCTTTGATGGAAATAGTCCTTGATGAAGATAAATAGAAACACTTCACGTGCAATATTCGATCAGAGGAGGAGGGGGAGGAAGAGAGGAGAACATCTAGAATGAAAGACTTGGTTGGTTTAATTTGAATTTGTACCAAGCGTTTTGGTTAGCGTGAAAGTGAAAATTGAATGAAGGCAAGGATACATCTTAAGTGACACATAATAAATAAATTCGGGTGGATTTGTAATCTGAAACAAAGAATATTATGTCTAGGAAATGTGCAGTCCACTGAGGGAATGCCAGTGACAGTCACAGTGATGTTAAATAGTTATCAGGTGAAACAACTTACTTTAGGCATGGTTGAATCTACTGGATATCACGGGTCTCTATTTGCATTCTTTCCTGTGTTACCCCTCTCATTCTCATAACTATGAAAATATTCAGTGCTAAGAAATTCCAAGTTATCTCTGACCTTGACCTTTGCAGTGACCATCTATCTATCTATCTATCTATCTATCTATCTATCTATCTAACTATTTACCTATAACCACATATGCTTATCTAAGAGGCAAATGCAATTCAGAAAGTCTTGACTGTTTCCCCCAAATTTATGTTGTCCATTGTCCTCTCCCATTTTGCATAGTGGCATCAGAATTTACTACTGATTTCAGGCCAAACCCTATATCCCCTGGATTCTTTTATTTCCTTCCATGAAAGTACTTTAACAGTGAAAAAGAATCTAAACTATTAATGACTCATATTGTGTCTACTACTAAAACTATCCTAAATCAACTACATGTTATTGTCTCCATGGATCCCCCTTTAACTTAAACTTTTATGATATTTCTTCTGGACTATGTCATTAGCCTCCAAAATGAAGCTCATCACCACCTAGTATGACATTTAAAAGGCAATGTTATAAATTTGTCATTAAAAATGAAGGTTGGGAAATAAAATGAGAGTAACTTTGGTAAAGGCATCACTAGATACAGTGTCAGGGAAGAGATATTTGAGTGGGTAATATTGAAATTTGAGTAATTAGGTGTGGATTGAGAAATGTGTATGGAAAAGAGTGTGGTGATCAAAAGAACAGCAAGTGTAAGTGCTCTGTGGGGGAAACCAGTTTAGTGTTTTAAAAACTACCAGGGACTAAAGAGGGTAGACGAGCTAAGAAAGGGACATGTGAGTCAGATATCAACCCTAGCAGGATCCCAACTGTTTCTTCACATTCACTTTTATATTCATATTGAACATTTCATTCAATTTTGATGTATGTATTGTAGGGAAAATTGTTCCTTAATCTTGAACATAGGCTTACTTTCTGCTTGAGAGACCTACTGAGTCATGAGAATGGTATGTGAGTTGTGTACTTGCAGGAGAGTAGAAAACTGACCCCTGAAAGAGAGAATTTATGTGTGAGGTGTGACAATAAAGATTCTCTGGACTCCAAAGGTCTCTTGACTCTGGATGCAAAGGTCATAATCAAGGTCTCTGGTTTTGCAAAAACAAGATGGAGACATTCTATCTGATCTTTTTATGTCCTCCCTATCAGTGATGATGTCTCATAAACACCTTCTATTTAGTTCTTCCTGCTTTATGATAAAAAATATGGACCCAATGTTTGCTCAAGAGGACTCCTCCCTGATTTCCTCAGTCCCTAGCACAAACGCTGAGGCAAGCCTCTTCATTCCTTCCACCAAAACCCCTTCAACATACAAAAGTATACATAGCAAACGTCTACAAGTTTAATGATTTTCAGAAGATAAATGTACCAATTTAATAAGAAATAGAAGTTCACGCTCAAAGAAAAACATCATGGTGTGCCCACTCCTAGTCTACACCCACCAAGGATATCAAATATCTTTGTGTGTGTGTGTGTGTGTGTGTGAGAGAGAGAGAGAGAGAGAGAGAGTCTCACTTTGTCACCCTAGCAGAGTGCTGTGGTTTCATAGCTCATGACAACTTCAAACTCTTGTGCTCAAGTGATCGTGTTGCCTCAGCCCTTTGATGCCTGGGACTATGGGAGCCCCCCAAAAATCCCTGCTTGTTTTTTCTTTTTTTTTATAAGACATGGGGTCTTGCTCTTGTTCAGGCTGGTCTTGAACTCCTGAACTCAAGCAATCCATCTGCCTTGGCCTTCCAGAGTGCTAGGATTAAAGGCATGAGCCACCTCGCCTGGCCCCAAATATTACCATCTTAACACCATAGATTATCTTAACTATAATTGATCTTTATAAAAAGTGGCACCACACAGTATGTAATCCTGTGTCATGTAACATTGCCTTCATGTTATTGAATGGGGCAGTAGTTTCTTCTCTCTCATCGCTGAATTGAAATTTGTATACATACACCACAGTTTACTTTCCATTCCACTGTTGATATTTATCCAGATATGATATTTAAGAAAACAGTTCTTCACATTTTCATTCAACTGCTTCCTTCATTCTTTCAATCATTCATTCTGCTATTTGAGTTGGCAATACAGTCGGCTGAGTCTGAACACTGGGGGAAAAAGGGGCTATATCATCTGAGAACAAGTGTAATTGGGTTCTTCATTTCCAGTTTGGATGCCTTGTTTTTCTTTCTCTTGTCTAATTGCTCTGGCTAGGACTGCTTGTACTATATTGTTTTGTTCCAGATCTTCAAGAAAAGTCTTGTTTTCCCCTATTCGTTATGATACTAGCTATAGGTTTGTCATATGTAACTTTTATTGTGTTGAAATATGTTCTTCCCATCCCAGTTTCTTTCAGAATTTTTTAAATTATGGGTTAATATGAGGATACATATGGTTAGGTTACATCACTTGCATTTGTAAAGTCAAGTCAAAAGTCTGAGTTGTAATTGAGTCATTCACCTTGGAAGTGTGCCATATAGCCCTATATTGTAACCATAGGTGGGAACTAATGCAGTCCACTCCCTCTCCCCCTTTCTTGAATTTGTGTTTTTCTCTCATGTGGGCCTATAGTTATTGGTCTACTATTTTCAGATTAGTACCAAGTACGTGGGATACTTGCTTCTAAATCTTGTGATACTTAGAAGAATGTTCTCTAAATCCCTCAGGTAAATACATAAGTTGCAAAGTCTCTATCTTCTTTTATGACTGATTAGTATTCCATGCTATACACATACCACAGTTTATTAATTCCTCATGGGTTGATGGGCACTTGGGTTGTCTCCTTCTTCGTGATTATGAATTGAGCTTCTATGAACATTTGATTGTGAATGTCCTTATGTTAAAAGGATTTTTAACCCATCAAGCAATGGGTAAGCAACATAAACAGATCATTTTCCCAAAAAGACAGATGAATGGCCAAAAAACATATGAAAAAATGTTCATCATCCAGAATCTTCATATATACAAATAAAAGCCACCTGACAGCAGTGAGGATAGCCCACATCACAGGGCCCCAAAGCTGCAGATGCTGGCCTGACCCTGAAATCCCATTGCTAGTTAAGTGTTCAAAAATTTTTTTTAAATCATGAAGGGTTGTTGAATATTTTGAATGATTTGGGAAATCTATATGGTGAATGCTTGAGGTGACGGATATCCCAACTATGTTAATTCATCATTACACACTCTATGCCTGTATCAAACCATCACGTATCTCATAATTATATATGAATATTATATATGGGATATAATTAAAAATCTTTAAAAATTAAGGAAAGTAAGTGCTGTGACTCAGAAATCTATGCAGGATAAATATAATTCCAATAAAGTCAAAGGTCATAGTTTTAACTAACATTACCAGATGCCATTAAGCATCTAGGTGCCCTCAGTATTGTTGTAGGAGGCATGTCCACCTGCCAGCAATGATTTACAGAGGCCTTCAGAAAAACTATACCATCATTCAAGAAGTCCCCAAACTCCTATACCCAAGAGAAGTCATTCTTGGTTCTAAATATTATGATTCTTGAGATATTTCATAAGGATCAGCATTCAGGTTACATTTGCAATGAGTTATCAAACTGTCAATGCTACCCTACTGCACCATGCATAGATATTATAATAGTGACTCTCACCGCAAATGAACACCGAAATACAGGCATGAAATTATGACCAATCTAAAAGTGTCCACAATCATTTTCAACTCTTGGTGGTTTGGTAAGTTGCCAAGGCCAGTAACACTGCCCCACAATTTGTGCTTTTAAACATGCTTCTTCCTCAAAACTCCTTCCTTCCTCTCCCTGTAATGAGCTAACTCCTACTTATAAACTGCAAAGTCTGTAACCTTTTCAAAAAATTCCTTTCTAAAGGTTTGTTTTTCTCATACCAAACTATAATTTCCAGTTCACATATGAAGCACTATTATTCACTTTTAGCTCCATGGAGTCAGAAGTAGAGGTCAGCACATAGCACAATGAAAGGTACATATAGTTCAGCAAATACGCCTAAAATAAAAGAATGAATATATCATCTGATAAACATTCCAAAAGAAAATACATCATCTGATAAACATTCCAAAAGACAGGTGACAAAAACTCACCTGTCTGAAAGATAGCCATATATCAGACTTCCCACAATGTTCCCAGACATAAATAGTGATTGAACCAGTGATTTTTGTGACTCAGATTCACACACCAGGTCCCACTGAAAGAGAAGGAAAGCAGCACAGTGGAGCTAGATAGGACTGTGAGCCCTTTAGTGGATACTGACTCCAAACTCCTATATAGGATGTGCATGACCTGCTGTTGTGATCATCCTGCCTCCATTTCAACCTTCATCTACAGATACTGTCCTCTGGTAGCCCACCCTCTCAACGTACTGAACTAATTTCAATCCTTTAATTGCAGCTACTTTGTTCTATGAACTGATAACCTTTCAACACCCTGCATCCATGTGTCTCTATGTCTGTTTACTCCTTTTATCTTCATACTACCAACTCCCTTTATTGTCCCTTTATGTAAATTCCTAAACATTCTTTAAGAATTTAACTAAAAACATGCAAAACTCACAAATTTCTGTACCAATATTTTAGAAGCCATATGCAAAATATTCTAAGACAATCACCCTTAGCATGTAGGTTATATAAAGGCTCTGCTTTTGGCTTCCATTATCTGTGATTTCAAATACTACAATAACGCTCATCTTTGGCCACATATCAAATCATTCAAAAACTTTCAGAACTCCTGGTGCCTATGCCCTATGCCCAGAGGTTCTGGTTTATTTGCTCTGCATATTAGTTTGGCAGTGAATTTTAAGATTCTCTCACCCAGCATAACATTTGGCTATGTAAAAAATTATGGGTCTTTCTCACTAGATTAAATGGCATAATAGCATATTTATGTTTAGCTTTTTCAATTTCTTATCCCTAACATTTATACACTTGACTGCATTATAATGTAGATAAGCAATTGCTACCTGCTCAAGGAATGAAGGAAGTGCTGAGGCAGTATCCATCTGGGGACTAAATGTGTGAAGCAATTGCATTCTTTGTGTTGCCTCCAAACCTCTCAATAACATAAAGAGAACATGATGTTTCTTACCTCAGTCACAATGGTGGAGAAGAAGAAGCTTTGATCATACACCCAGCCATCCACACAGGCCTCTGTGTCTGGCTCACTCATTTTTGAGAAGGTCTGGTTTAGATGAAGGAGCTGCCACTGGGGATGGACAAAGTGACGACACTTTTCTGGCCTCAGATTGGAGTCCAGTGGGATGGAGATTCTCAAGAGGGCATCTTGGTTGAGGGTGCCAGTGTCATTGTCAGAGACAGTGTCATTGTCAAGGATGTGGACCCAGCAGCGATGACCAGGGATGGCTGCAGTGAAGTTCTCCAGCAGAACATGAGGGTACATGACAGCGATGATGATACAGAAGAAAGCCATCTGAAGGATCTGGAATCTCCCCAGGCTTCCTACTTGATCCAGGAGCACCTCAAAGGCCATTGAGGCTGGACAGGGGATCCCCAAGAGTCAGCACAGTGACTTTATGGAGATTAGTTCAGAAGGAGAAAGGTGTCCTTCCACTAAATCACACTAATCCTGTGTTGACCCAGACCTAAAAAAAACTGTTTCATGATGATTATGATGATTTTTAGCAAGAGAGAGCAGAGCTTGTTCTTGATTAGGACTGAAGTTTTACTAAAGGTTAATGAAAACTTGTAATCCTAGTTAAAGTAAAACAAAGTGGAATGTTGGCTACACATGTTAACTTTCTGTAAGTAAAGTTTTGCTTAGTTCATATCACACAAGTGACAATCATTTTAAAATTTTGAAGTCACAAAATGCATGTAATAGGGTGAGAGGATAGCAGTTGTGATTTTTTTCAGAGACGCAGTCTCACTCCATTGTCTAGTGTCTCACCCAGAATTGAGTGCAATGACACCCTGATACTTCACGGTAACTCAATATCCTAGGCTCCATGCACTTTCCTGACTAAGTAGCCTGGACTACAACTGGAGGTAGCATGTCTGGCTATGTCAACAAACCCACTGATAGGTTTTTTCCCAAAATGAAAAAAAGACATTTATCAAAAAGAAACTTGAACTTGAATGTTTGTAGGAGCATAATTCACAATTCTAAAGATGTGGAAACAACACAACTTCCTATCAATTCATGAGTGGATTAATAAAGTGTGGTATTTGTATACCATGGAGTACTACTATTCAGCCATAAAAATGGTGATCTAGTATTTTTTTGCCACAACTTGGATAGAACTGGAGACTATTCTTCTAAATTTAGTATCACAGGAATGGAAAACAAATGGCACATGTACTTAATACTAACTTGATGGCTCTGCACCTGTAGTTCAGTGGTTAGGGCGCCAGACACATACACTGGGGCTGGTGGGTTTGAACCTGGCCCAGATCTGCTAAACAACAATGACAACTACAACAAAAAAATAACTGGGCATTGTGGTAGTCACCTGTAGTCCCAGCTACTTGGGAGGCTGAGATAAGAGAATCGCTTAAGCCCAAGAGTTTGAGGCTGCTGGGAGCTGTGATGCCCTGGCCTTCCACCATGGGTGACATAGTGAAACTCTGTTTCAAAAAAAACAAAAAAACAAAAAAACCCTAACTTGAAACTCTTGAATCTAGTTGATCAACTCTTATGCGCACATATAAAAGTTAAACTCAACAGAAATGAACTAGGTTTGAAATAGGAGGATGGGTTGGGGAGATTAAAATGTAACTGGTACAATGCATACTTTCTGGGTAAAAGGCCTTCTTATAACTTTGACTTAAAATGTATAAAAGCAGGGGCAAAGCAAGATGGTGGACTGGAGACGGCTTCTTTGCAACTGGGTGCAGTACATTTGGGGAGAGAAGACTCCAGGTACCTCTGGCTTGTGGGATCTACCCAGAAATATCCCTTTGGGAGAACAGGGAGGCAGCAGGAAAATCCAGGACCCCAAGAGGAGGACGGAAGCAGTGGAGAAGCAGCAAGTGTTTGTGATCAGTCTGAGGCGGGCTGGTTGTAGCAGCTGCAGTGGCAGCAGTTACAGCAGAGGCAAGAGTTTGTTTTGTTTTTTTTCTTTAGACTTGGGCACTTGTTGAGTTACATTGGGAGACTTTGGGCAAGTGAGCAAGTGACTTAGAACACCGCCCAAAGGCCGGGACTGAACTGCTGGGGTGGAACAGAGCTTTTATTGTTTGGCTGCAAGCCAGGCACAGCCATTATGGGAGAGCTGCCTTGGCAAGAACAGCCCTTAAGGTCCTAGAGTGAGGCTGGCTCTGGTGTGCCTGATAAGCAGGCAGCCACTTCTGGAGAGATCCAAGCGACATGCATTTCTGTGAAAGCCACTGCTTAGCCAAGGGGCATGGTTTGGAATGGTCTAGGTGTGTCTATTAAGCAGGTTGAGGAGAGAGAGATTCAGGTTCCCAACCCTGCAGGGCTTGAGGGCAAAGAAGTCAGCAGAGGCTTCCAATCTCCATCTTGTACAGCTGTATTGTGATTAGCATCACATACCCCAGATCACCTGTTGCCCAGGCAATTTTTTCATTGTTGCCTTCTTTAACAATAAAGGCTTCACTTTCACTAGTTTTTCTGCCCCTGTTAATTGTCCCCTCCCCTCAATTTTATCCCTTAAGGTTTTTTGTTTTTATTGGTTTGATTTATAGCATTTTTGTTTTTCTTCTCTATTTCATGGAGGTGGGGTCCTGCATCTGCTCAGGCTGGCAAAGAGCTGCAAATGTCAAGGGACCCACCCAACCAAGCCATCCTCAGAGGCTGGCATTTGTCAGTGTGCATTAAAGTACCCTAATGCACACCACTATTATTCCTCTCTCTCTATTCTTCTCTTCTTTTTGTCTTTTTTTTTTTTTTTTTTTTTTTTTTTGCAGTTTTTGGCCAGGGCTGGATTTGAACCCACCACCTCTGGCATATGGGGCCAGCACCCTACTCCTTTGAGCCACAGGAGCCGCCCCATTCTCTTCTTTTTGTCAATCTTCCTATTTACTCCTTCTTTCCATTCTCTTTCTCTTTTTTATCTTTTATCCCTTCTTGCTCTTCACTCTTCTCATCCTTTTCGTCCTTTACCAAAAGGGCACTTCAACACCTTAGGTAAGACGCACAGTAACTTAAAGAGCAAGAGGAAGTGAAAAGAAAAAGTAGGGCAAGGAAACAGACAAAAAGAAAACACTTATGAGGAAGAAACAGCAGAGAAATCCTGGCATCATGAAATACCAGAATGGAGCTACCCTGCCAAGGGATCATGAGGTAGCTACTACAGAAGATTCCACTTATAAAGAAATCTTAGAAATGACAGAAGGTGAATTTAAAATATGGATGGTAAAAACAATGAAGGAAATTGCTGAGAAAGTGGAAAATAACCAAAGGGAAATTCAAAAACAGAATCAAACAAGAGATGAATGATATGAAGAATATAGAAAGGATGTAGCAGAGCTTAAGGAATTGAAGCAGTAAAATCAGGGAGTTCAAAGATGCAGTAGAAAATATCAATAATAGATTAGACCACACAGAAGAAAGAATCTCAGAACTAGAGGATAAAGCTCTTGAGCTAACTCAGGCAGTTAATGACACAGAAAAAAAGAGAGAGAAAGTAGAACATTCACTGAGAAAATTATGAACTTCATGAAGCATTCAAATATACAAGCTATAGGTATCCCACAAGGGGAAGAAGAATGCCCTAGAGCAGGGGTCCTCAAACTTTTTAAACAAGGGGCCAGTTCACTGTCCCTCAAACTGTTGGAGGGCCAGACTGTGGGCCTCAGAATGAGTCAGCTGCTAAGCAGGACAGGCAGCAGTGGCAAAAACACCTGGAAGGCCAGATAAATGTCCTAGGCAGGCTGCATGTGGCCCATGGGCTATAGTTTGAGGATACCTGCCCTAGAGGAATGGAAGCCCTACTAGATAAGTGAAAATTTCCAAAGTATTACTAAAGATTATGACACACTCTTTCATGGAGATGTCAGATCCCAGGTTGTCTCAACTCAAACAGAGCTCATCTAAGACACATGGTTGTGAACATGTCCAAAGTCAAGACAAAAGAGAAAATTCTGTAAGCTGCTAGGAGTAAGCACCATTTGACCTATTGGGTAAGGTGACCAGATTTTAACATTGGTAAAGAGGGACACCATTGACCGAGGTGGGGAGGGTTCCTTAATTAAAAATTTGGTCTACATGGAGCAACAAAAATTTTCATAGAATGCAAAAATAGTATTGTAATTTTTTAAAAATTTCAACATAAGTACAATTTACAAATATAATACATTAAAAAATTATGTGTAGTATTATTTTATCCTTTGGCATAGTTCTCATTTGAGTGAATTTTTAAAAGTAGATTGCTGTCGTTGTTTAAAAGGTCATGAAATTTTTCACAAGAATTTTCTATTTTTTTTTTTTTTTGAGACAGAGCCTCAA